TATTTTGAAACCAATTCCAAACACACCCATGGCTTTACTCGCATGTAAGAAAGAACATGACCTTACTCGCATTTTAAGGAGGGACATGACTTAAAACTCTTTAAATAAGACCAGGTGCTGTGGTATTTTTGTAAACAGCCTTTGATAAACCAACAAATCAAAATCTTGACCACTGCTTAACAGTATATTTCTGACCTTTGGAAAAAAAAATGGAAAAGAAAGGAAAAGAAAAAAAATCATAGACTAGTAAACTATGCAGACTAAGGTTCAGAGAAGCTTTGCTGGGTACGGAGTATGCACTCAAATACAACGCTCGACACTGCTGAGACTCCCATGTGATAAGGAATTCCTCTTGCAAACGCCAAGCAGCAAGTAGACCAATTAATTACAGCATCCCTCTATTATCAAAATTCATATCAACTCTGGCAAAAATCCATGAAAACCAACGTCCCTACAGTAAAAAAAAAAAAAAAAAAAAACCTATTAAAAGCAGCAGCTTGAAATCAAATATCAAGTGTACTGCCTATCTTCTATCTTCTTCATCGTTGACTGACACCTGCATCTTCAGCGTGGATCGGATCTGATTTTGCTTCCGCTGCTTGAAAGGGAGTATTTGACTTCTCGATAAGAAACTCGAGTTTCTGCACATGAAGATGAGAAACACGATTAAAAGCAGGATTAAAACCAAGCAACTTAAAGCATAAAATTTAAGTAAAATTACAGAGGCAGCCAATGAACATACAAATCAACAATGAAAGAGCAAAACAAACAAAGCACAATACCTTTACAGATTTATTTACTTCTTCAAGTTTATGAATGAGTAAATCTCCAGGAACTATGCCTCTGCGGTCCATTGGAGAGTAGCGTGGTGAAGCTGTCATCTGTGCAGAATCATCAAAATTATGGTTAACCAAGGTAAAACCACCCATCAACATAAGGGAACTGGAAAAGTACAAGAGTTAAATCACAAATTTGATGAAAAAATTAAAAACATTGGAATATAATTTGGTCTCTTCCATAGAAGAAATGATGAAGGTAGATCCCAAGTGAACAAGCAATTAGAAAAACGTTATTCTGCAATCAGAATCATTGGAAAACCACTATAAGTATACTCACGTCTTGCAGAGAGAATCAGCTACTCAGAAAACTCAGATGAAAAAGCAAAACTTGGGACATTGGCTTTAATATGGTTATGGAACTTCTAGATGGCGTCTTTTATCCATCATAAAATATCAGTGCAATGCCAAGTAGAATCCTATTTTTCTAGTTGTTTCTCAGAAACTAAAGCAGAGAACAATAAGAAAATTCAAAAGTAAGTGTGTGACTCAAAAGATAATTTAACAGTCGACAAAGCGATTAATGTCCCAGGGCGCATAGATTAACTAGAGCGAAGGCCTCTAACAAACACGCCAAGTACTTTAAGGGCAGGCCAACAGATCCTTATACCTTTTTTTCCCAAGTCAAAACCCATCCTCATTAACCGATACATTACCTAATCCCCACATTGATGTTTGGCAAGCGTGTGTATATTAGGGAATAGGGAGAGAGTCAGAGACCTGCGGTTATGCAATTACCTTCACGCTTTTGACTGGTGATCTCAAAATAGCTGGTCCCTCAGTCAATGATCCCACACGAACACCAGTTTCCCCTTCAGCGGTGCCTCCAACTTTTACCAACATCAAGCATAGTCTTCGAAGCTTCCGTTATGATGACTTATGGTCATGAAACAACCGATTTGAGAATGCAATGTCGGCATGTCTCTTTCAGAGTGTAAAGCAATACAATTTCACTCGATGAACTCCATCTAGAACCTAACAGTTCAGTGGACAGAGATATATAATAGAAAACATAACAATCTTTGATTCACCTTCCTCAGAATACTAGGATCAGAAACGCCTTGAATCTGTAGTTCATCTGTAGGCGCGGCTTTTCCATGCGCTATACTTTCAACTCTAAAGGTGTGTATTCCATAAATTGACTGCAAGCATCCTACAGAAGACACATAAGAAAATTAAGTCTTCTAAGGTGTGCCTCTAACCGGAATAAATAAATAAATAAAAGTTACCATGTGAGCGTTACTCCACAAAATAACTGTAGCACGGGCAAAAGAATCACATTTGATGCTTAGGACAGCAAATGATGTGAAGATAGATTCATCACAAAACAACTCAAAATAGTTCCCAGTTTTTATCAACGTTACCACCAAGTTAACTCATTGCAAAGAGAATGAGAGAACATGCAAAAACTTTTGAACCTGACAATATGATTGTTTACGTCCCTCAACTATAAGAAAAGAAATTAAAATTGTTACTTATGTTTCAAAGCATAGTTTTTAGACAAGAAAATATTACTCGGACCCATAATCAATGTTCATATGTTGCACATTTTCCATGCAAACATACTTCCAAACTCAGGTGATAATAGAGTTGGAAAAACACATATGATGCAATTTTTTTTTTTTTTATAAGTAAGAACATATGATGCAATTCAAACATAAGAAATAAGAAATGAAGGAAAAAGTTAAATTCATTAAGTTTTACTTCAAGGAATAAGGTTGAGTGAAGCATACTGGATCAGTACCTTGTTCAATGATGATATCAATCACCAGAGAAAGGGGTCTGCGCTTCTCAATTGTTGTGATGCCCAAAAAGGGTATGAATGATGGCCTCGAAACCTTCATGGAGATGAAACAAATATGTTATTGCGTTCTGTATTTTAAGTCTCACAAATAACAAGAGACAGTATAAAACTATAATTTTACCTTGTAAACTATCTCGCTAGGTGTAACATATAATTTGCGCGAGGAAATATCCTTCCGAAGAATGTATCTCCGGATATAGTAGCATGATGATCCCTACACCCCACGCTAAAACCAGCAACAGCGATATAGAGAGCCATATAACAGTTTCATACTGAATAATGTTTTCTCCAAGCTCATCAAAGGAAGCCGAGTATAGAATTGGCTCGGAACTGTCTGCAGTGTCATCATCATCTAACTCGGATTCCGGATCAGCAAGTAGCTGATTCTGTGATGATGACCTAAGCTCTGATAGACCGTCCGTATGGCCCAACAACATTTCTTCGATCTAACAACTAGTAAATAAGAAACATAAGACCCTCAGCACTCAATCCGACATTTCTTCAAACTAAAAACTAGAAAAATCAGAAACAAAAAGCCACACTACTAAAATCCAAGCTCAGAACATCCATTTTTCTTTTCTTCCTTTATGTATGGAATATGGATGGCTCCATATTACTTTGGTATTATGAGACCGATATAATATTTTAGGGCTTTAAAGACAACATTAAACTCAACTTCTGGGCATTTACTGATTAAAAATTGTTTGTTAAGCAAAAGTTTGAACCATACTAATTTTCTCCAACTTAAGATACATAGTTCTTGAAGAACTCCAGAAAACACAACTAATTTGTCATTCTTTTGCTTAAAACAGATAATCTAGTTGACGAATGAAACAATTTAAATATAATTTCTAATGAATGAAGGAATTTAAATGGGATAATTGCACTTCAAAAGGTGCCAATTCCATTTTCTTTTCTCCTTTTTCTTCTGTTTGAAAAAAAAAAAAACACACACACACACACACTCTTTTAATGTTTCGCAAATAATAAATAAATCGTTCATAAGCAACCCCAGCAACATCTTATAAACTCGAGAATTGGATTACTAGATCACATAGGCGTTGTAGAAAAAGAAAAAGAAAGAAAAAAAAAAGATGCTTCTTTTGGTTGCAAATAAAGAAAAATAAAATCACTTTACAGCAAATAAAGAAAAACCAAATCACTTTACAGTAAAAATAAAAAATAAAAAGTAAAAAATTCAATCTTCCATGAACCTGACTTAAGCATATTATCACATTTTCTTTAAAAATAAAAATAAAAACCTAATAAATCGAAAAACAATTTTCTTTTTCACTCTTTTTTTCCTCAACCTAACCAGAATTCCACACAGAGAAACGAAAACAAAACTTTACACAAAAACAGGAGGAGAAGAAGAAGAAGAAGAAGAAACGAAAACAAAACTTTACACAAAAACAGGAGGAGAAGAAGAAAAAGAAGAAGGAGAAGGAGAAGGAGGAGAAGGAGAAGGAGAAGAAGAAGAAGAAGAAGGAGAAGGAGAAGAAGGAGGAGGAGAAGAAGAAGAAGAAGCAGAAGGAGAAGAAGAAGGAGGAGGAGAAGAAGAAGAAGGAGGAAGAGAAGAAGAAGAAGAAGAAGAAGGAGGAAGAGAAGGAGAAGAAGAAGGAGAAGAAGAAGAAGAAGGAGAAGAAGAAGGAGAAGGAGAAAGGAGAAGGAGAAGAAGAAGAAGAAGGAGAAGAAGAAGGAGAAGGAGAAGAAGAATAAGAAGGAGGAGGAGGAGAAGAAGAAGAAGAAGCAGAAGAAGGAGAAGAAGAAGAAGGAGAAGAAGATGAAGGTGAAGAAGAAGAAGAAGAAGCAGGAGGAGAAGAAGGAGGAGGAGAAGAAGGAGAAGAAGAAGGAGGAGAAGGCGGAGAAGGAGAAGCAGAAGGAGAAGGAGAAGGAGAAGGAGAAGAAGGAGAAGGAGGAGAAGAAGAAGAAGGAGGAGAAGGAGGAGAAGAAGAAGGAGAAGAAGGAGGAGAAGAAGAAGGAGAAGAAGGAGGAGAAGAATGAGAAGAAGGAGGAGAAGAAGAAGCAGAAGAAGAAGCAGAAGAATGAGAAGGAGGAGAAAAAGGAGAAGAAGGAGAAGAAGGAGAAGAAGAAGGAAGAAGAAGGAGAAGAATAAGAAGAAGAAGAAGAAGAAGAAGAAGAAGAAGCAGAAGAAGAAGAAGAAGAAGAAGAAGAAGGAGGAGGAGAAGAAGGAGAAGAAGGAGAAGAAGGAGGACAGTCCCGGTACAGCCCCGGGACATCCCCCGATCAGCCCCCGAACGGCCCCGGGTCAGCCCCGGGACAGCCCCGGAACAGCCCCGGTACAGCCCAGGGTCAGCCCCGGAATAGCCAATTACAGCCCCGGGACAGCCCCGGGACAGTCCCGGAACAGCCCCGGGTCAACCCCGGGACTACCCCGGGTCAACCACGGGGCAGCCCCGGGACAGCCACGGGACATCCTCGGGTTAGCCCCGGTACAGTCCCGGGACAACCCCTGGGTAGCCCTGGGACAACACCGAGACAACCCCGGGACAGACTCGGGAATGTCCCGGCGCTGTACCGCGCGCTGTAC